TCATATCAGTGTCCGACCCTAAGTAGTTTAGAAGAAATTGCAGTTAAAGATCCCAGTGCCAAATACAAAATTTCTACACTATATAGCAAATTTGTTAATGCTTCCAAAGAATCTACAAATCATAAAAGACTGGCTTGGATTGAAGACTTTCAAATAGATATTACAGAAAATGAATGGGAAGAAAGTTGTCTTCAAGCGCAAACATTATCAATCAATACCCGTTTTAAATTAATCCAATATAATCGGGTAATGAGAACATATATAACACCAGAAATGTTAAATAAATTTAATAGAAATATTCTGGACATTTGTGGAAAATGTTTGACTTACAAGGGCACACTGTTCCATTGTGTTTGGCAATGTGAGCACTTGCAATTCTTTTGGAAAGACATAATTGGTGTAATCTCTAAAACTATTGGTAAAGAAATCCCTGTTTGCCCTAAAATCTGTATCCTTGGTCTTTTCCCTCCTGCCTTATCGCTGAAGTCATATGAACAGAAGTTTATAAATCTGTGTCTATTACATGCGAAGCGCCTGATTGCCATTCACTGGAAAAGTACTCATGCTCCATCTTTGTCACTCTGGATTAAGGAAATGTCTTCCTGTATAGCAATGGAAAGGTTGACTTATTCAATCACACAAAAAAATGCACATATTCTACAAGACTTGGGACTTCTTCCTTCATTTTTTAAATAACAGTGCACTGACTGTTTAGTAATCCCAAACAATGTGACTGTTAAAATACACTGTGTTTGTAATGACTAACTTTAATATACTTTCACTGGAATGTATATGTTGAAATGTCAATTTTTTAATGGTATTTATTTTTTATATATTTTTAATTTTTAACAAAATAGCCCTTTTTATTTTTATCTTTAAGTTTATTTTAGTTAATCTTTATTTTCTATTTATTTGTTTTTGTATTACTTTCCTCGCATGAGAATGCATTTTTTTTATTCTATTCATTTCTTTTTTAAATTTTTAATTTTTATTTTGAACGTCGGGATGGGGCAGGAGTTCTTTGATTGGTATTTGGTTACTAATACAGTAAGAATGTATCACACCTTTCTGAAACAATAAAAGTGTTAAAAAAAAAAAAAAAAAAAAAAGAAAGCCACTCTCCCATAATCTGAGGGAAAAGTGCCGTTTGGATTTGAACCTAGCACCTGCTGTTCCCAAGACAGGTGCTCTGGCCAACTTAGTCTTAACACTAAAAGAAAAAACCTGGATACGATTCTTCCAAATGCAGTTTCATCTAAGACAGTGGGGGGGAAGCAAAATTTACTGTGCTTTCTACTCAGGTACTTTGCACATGCATAAAGAGGCTCTCGTACGACAAATCCAAAAGGCGTGATCTCAACAATAGGTGGCAGTTACTTTTCCCCAAAACCACAGGTTGCCGACGAGTCATTCCTCAAGCCCACTAGGCCCTACACCGTTTTCTAATCTCCCTTATTTAAAACAGCTCAATTAAGTCATCGGCTTTATTGTAGAGTACCCCTAGTATCTGAGCCTGCACTGCGCAATGAAAGAAAGAAGCAAAACGGGATGGACAGATGCCTAAAATGTTAGAAACGCACCACACCTTAAGTCAGTGAAGAAAAAGAGCAAAGCTTTCGACTCTGGTGGGACTCGAACCCACAACCTTTGAATGGCTCAGCTCACAGCCTAGAAGTCCAATGCGCTATCCATTGCGCCACAGAGCCCAAGTGCTCTGCTTCATCTAGAACTGTTGGACAGAAAGCACTTTTTAGTACTCTCTGGCCCATGAAAGAACAGCCAACTGCGGACAAGGCACTGCTGGAATTCAAAGCCAGGATCTCCTGTTCACTAGACAGGCACTTTGACCAACTAAGCCACAGCGCCAAACGACCTCGATACAGGCTAAATGTTTAATTCCAAAAAAAAAAAAAAAACTAACAACGGTAGCGCTGCATGTGGGAATGTCTGGACTTGAAATATTAAAGTCCAATTGGTTAGGCATTACCACACTATGCTATATAAAGCAATCGTCCAAAGCCCTCTTGAACGAGCAGCGTTCTTAAGGATTTGAGTTTTGTTAAGAAACCGACTGCTAAACATCCCGCTGCGTAAACACTCGTTACTCTTAACAAAAAGCAAACACAAAACCTGTACATTAGGCACTGCTGGGATATGAACCCAGGATCTCCTGTTTATGAGACAGGCGCTTTGACCAACTAAGCCACAGCGCCAACGCTGAATAGGAGGCAAGACGTATTTGCACACAGAGACTAAAAAAAGACAGCAAGTCTTAAAATGGCAAGCAAAGAGGTTGTTTAACTCTATTTGTCGCACTATTCATTACGCCTCAAAGCTATACAATTTTATAATTCATTCCGGTGAGCTCTATGAAACAAGCACACGCACCACCTGGACTAAGGCGCTGCTGTGATTTGAGCCCAGGATCTCCTGTTTACAAGACCGGCGCTTTGACCAGCTAAGCCACAGCGCCACAGAAATTCTCAGTAAGAGACATTTACCAGATAACAAAAATCGAAGAAGAAAAAATAATACACAACAAAAACCAGCATGTCAGGATGCAGAAAATGCTGACAAGCCAGACGCGGTCTTTTAGAGTCTGGATGATCATGTCTCAAGCCTGACCATGTCATCCAAACCCAGAGTCAGCTCGGAAAATGGAAATCAGGACAAACATATGCTATCGGCCATTGAAAGAGTTTCAGATCAGAAAGCCACTCTCCCATCATCTGAGGGAAAGGTGCAGTTTGGATTTGAACCTAGCACCTGCTGTTCCCAAGACAGGTGCTCTGGCCAACTTAGTCTTAACACTAAAAGAAAAAACCTCTGGATACGATACTTTCAAACGCAGTTTCATCTAAGACAGTGGGGGGAAGCAAAATTTACTGTGCTTTCTACTCAGTTACTTTGCACATGCATAAAGAGGCTCTCGTACGACAAATCCAAAAGGCGTGATCTCAACAATAGGTGGCAGTTACTTTTCCCCAAAACCACAGGTTGCCGACGAGTCATTCCTCAAGCCCACTAGGCCCTACACCGTTTTCTAATCTCCCTTATTTAAAACAGCTCAATTAAGTCATCGGCTTTATTGTAGAGTACCCCTAGTATCTGAGCCTGCACTGCGCAATGAAAGAAAGAAGCAAAACGGGATGGACAGATGCCTAAAATGTTAGAAACGTACCACACCTTAAGTCAGTGAAGAAAAAGAGCAAAGCTTTCGACTCTGGTGGGACTCGAACCCACAACCTTTGAATGGCTCAGCTCACAGCCTAGAAGTCCAATGCACTATCCATTGCGCCACAGAGCCCAAGTGCTCTGCTTCCTCTAGAACTGTTGGACAGAAAGCACTTTTTAGTACTCTCTGGCCCATGAAAGAACAGCCAACTGCGGACAAGGCACTGCTGGAATTCAAAGCCAGGATCTCCTGTTCACTAGACAGGCACTTTGACCAACTAAGCCACAGCGCCAAACGACCTCGATACAGGCTAAATGTTTAATTCCAAAAAAAAAAAAAAAAAAAAAACTAACAACAGTAGCGCTGCATGTGGGAATGTCTGGACTTGAAATATTAAAGTCCAATTGGTTAGGCATTACCACACTATGCTATATAAAGGCATCGTCCAAAGCCCTCTTGAACGAGCAGCGTTCTTAAGGATTTGAGTTTTGTTAAGAAACCGACTGCTAAACATCCCGCTGCGTAAACCCTCGTTACTCTTAACAAAAGCAAACACGAAACCTGTACATAAGGCACTGCTGGGATTTGAACCCAGGATCTCCTGTTTACAAGACAGGCGCTTTGACCAACTAAGCCACAGCGCCAACGCTGAATAGGAGGTAAGACGTATTTGCACACAGAGACTAAAAAAAGACAGCAAGTCTTAAAATGGCAAGCAAAGAGGTTGTTTAACTCTATTTGTCGCACTATTCATTACGCCTCAAAGCTATACAATTTTATAATTCATTCCGGTGAGCTCTATGAAACAAGCACACGCACCACCTGGACTAAGGCGCTGCTGTGATTTGAGCCCAGGATCTCCTGTTTACAAGGCAGGCGCTTTGACCAGCTAAGCCACAGCACCACAGAAATTCTCAGTAAGAGACATTTGCCCGATAACAAAAATCGAAGAAGAAAAAATAATACACAACAAAAACCAGCATGTCAGGATGCAGAAAATGCTGACAAGCCGGACGCGGTCTTTTAGAGTCTGGATGATCATGTCTCAAGCCTGACCATGTCATCCAAACCCAGAGTCAGCTCGGAAAATGGAAATCAGGACAAACATATGCTATCGGCCATTGAAAGAGTTTCAGATCAGAAAGCCACTCTCCCATCATCTGAGGGAAAGGTGCAGTTTGGATTTGAACCTAGCACCTGCTGTTCCCAAGACAGGTGCTCTGGCCAACTTAGTCTTAACACTAAAAGAAAAAACCTCTGGATACGATACTTTCAAACGCAGTTTCATCTAAGACAGTGTGGGGGAAGCAAAATTTACTGTGCTTTCTACTCAGTTACTTTGCACATGCATAAAGAGGCTCTCGTACGACAAATCCAAAAGGCGTGATCTCAACAATAGGTGGCAGTTACTTTTCCCCAAAACCACAGGTTGCCGACGAGTCATTCCTCAAGCCCACTAGGCCCTACACCGTTTTCTAATCTCCCTTATTTAAAACAGCTCAATTAAGTCATCGGCTTTATTGTAGAGTACCCCTAGTATCTGAGCCTGCACTGCGCAATGAAAGAAAGAAGCAAAACGGGATGGACAGATGCCTAAAATGTTAGAAACGCACCACACCTTAAGTCAGTGAAGAAAAAGAGCAAAACTTGCAACTCTGGTGGGACTCGAACCCACAACCTTTGAATGGCTCAGCTCACAGCCTAGAAGTCCAATGCGCTATCTATTGCGCCACAGAGCCTAAGTGCTCTGCTTGCTCTAGAACTGTTGGAGAGAAAGCACTTTTTAGTACTCTCTGGCCCATGAAAGAACAGCCAACTGCGGACAAGGCACTGCTGGAATTCAAAGCCAGGATCTCCTGTTTACTAGACAGGCACTTTGACCAACTAAGCCACAGCGCCAAACGACCTCGACACAGGCTAAATGTTTAATTCCAAAAAATAAAAAAAAAAACTAACAACGGTAGCGCTGCATGTGGGAATGTCTGGACTTGAAATATTAAAGTCCAATTGGTTAGGCATTACCACACTATGCTATATAAAGGCATCGTCCAAAGCCCTCTTGAACGAGCAGCGTTCTTAAGGATTTGAGTTTTGTTAAGAAACCGACTGCTAAACATCCCGCTGCGTAAACACTCGTTACTCTTAACAAAAAGCAAACACGAAACCTGTACATTAGGCACTGCTGGGATTTGAACCCAGGATCTCCTGTTTACTAGACAGGCGCTTTGACCAACTAAGCCACAGCGCCAACGCTGAATAGGAGGCAAGTTGTATTTGCACACAGAGACTAAAAAAAGACAGCAAGTCTTAAAACGGCAAGCAAAGAGGTTGTTTAACTCTATTTGTCGCACTATTCATTACGCCTCAAAGCTATACAATTTTATAATTCATTCCGGTGAGCTCTATAAAACAAGCACACGCACAACCTGGACTAAGGAGCTGCTGGGATTTGAGCCCAGGATCTCCTGTTTACAAGACAGGCGCTTTGACCAGCTAAGCCACAGCGCCACAGAAATTCACAGTAAGAGACATTTACCCGATAACAAAAATCGAAGAAGAAAAAATAATACACAACAAAAACCAGCATGTCAGGATGCAGAAAATGCTGACAAGCCGGACGCGGTCTTTTAGAGTCTGGATGATCATGTCTCAAGCCTGACCATGTCATCCAAACTGTTGGAATATCTATCTCTATTCCATGCGTGTTCAAGAGAAAAGGTCAGGAGAGGGTTTTCTTCAATGCCAAAAATATTAGTAATTTATTAGATACAAATGAATAGTTCGATGACAGAGCTCTGGATTACGTTACCCCGATGCAATACAAGAATTACATTCAAGAGGTTCACAACTGACTTACATTTCCTGACTCCAGTATATATATACACAACTGATCTTAACAGGTGGAGTTTTGGTTTAACGTCACTTATCAGTCATTCTGCAGTCCCTTGGCTCTTTGCAACCCCTGGACATTACTTCCTCTTTCTGCAACCTTTCTCTGCATACCAGAACTGAACAATTACGTGCATCTTTAATATATTTCACAACTTCTACAAGCATCAGGACAACTTGTGACATGTCTAGACTATAGTTCTGGAACAAAGGCCCCCACCCTCAATTTATTCTTATTCTGCTTTTCCACTTGTCAGCAGTTCTTCTAAAAAGTATGCAGCACAGTAAAAAAGAGGAAGTTTGTCTGGTCAAGACGTTTTATAATACAAAAGAGAAAGATTGATTAATCTGTTTTTAGTCTAAACATTTTTCTAATAAAAAATAATAAAAAGAATAAAAATAAAAATAAATTCATTTTCTCCAACAATTCACCTTTTCTGCTCCTCTCTGGAGCAGACAAAAACAAAATCAGATAATCAAATCCCCACAAAAATGTCCAATTGTCATTACTGCAGGACTTTGCCTAAATCCCTGTTTTACCTCTTATTCAAAACAATCTTTAACATCCTAGTGCTCCTTCATTATGTTAAATGATGCCCAAAAACCCTTTTAACTCAATTTCTTTAACTTTTCTGGATTCAGTTTATAATTTTCACACTCTTGGTTCTCCTCTTCGGTGGTGCAGTCTCTTCCTTCTTGAAGTCACTCCGATATCTTCTTTTGCTAAGGATTATACTTGCTATATTCAGGTTTATTAATCCCAACACTCTTATTAACTTCCAATTATCCCATAATAAAAATGTTCCATTCTCATACACTTTATCAATAAAGGTAATTAATTTTTACTTCTTCTTCTTCCCCACCAAAATTAAAATAACAATGAGAATAATAAAAATGTAAATAAAATTTAAAAACTCCAACATTTAAAAAATAAAATCTGATCAAAAGGAAATGCACTCCCATTGAAAATCCCACAGTATGAATAAAATCTAAGATCAACACTTGTGAAAATATGATTGGAATTAGAAATTCAAAATTCTAACAACATAATTCAAATCAGCAATTCACTAATAAAAATTATAATCCCCCTGCTTAGTTCAGACTGAATTTCAACATTTTTAAGTCATTATTGAACCAAAATTACAATTGAGATTTAAGATGAAAAATCAACAGCTTCAAAGTAGGATTCAACTCAACAATTATTAAAATGAAAAGTTCAGAACTAAATCATAACAAGGTTATTAAACTAACAACTCAGACTTGTCACCAAATTTTAAAACCAAAATTCAAACATATTTAAACTAGAGATTTTTTCTCTCAATGTCTTAAAATAGGAAAATCAATAACACAACAATGTGATTAAAATAAAATAAAAATCTTAAGAATCTCTGCAAACAAAAGGTTCAAAAACAACAATGGCTTAAAATAAAAATCTTAAAATGTCTTCAAATTAAAGATTTAAAAACAACAATGGCTCAAACTAAAATAATCTTTAAAAATGTGTTCAAATAAAAGAATTTTAAAATCGTCTTCAAATAAAAGAATCTTAAACTCATAAGAATGTGTTTAAAATAAAATAATCTTAAAAATGTCTTAAAATAAAAGATTCAAAAAGCATCTTAAAATAAAAGATTTTTGCATTGAAAATGAAAAATATAAAAGCATTGAATGTCTTAAAATAAAAGATTATGAAAAAACATACAAATGTCTTAAAATAATAGAACATTAGAAAGGTATTAAAATAAAAGATAAAAAGCATTAAAAAATCTTAAAATAAAGTATAATAAAAAAAAACATTAAGAATGTCTTCCCATAAAAGATAAAAAAATTATATGTCTAAAATAAAAGAATAAAAATAATTCAAAAAATTCCAAAAAACTAACGTGTGTAAAATAAAATAATTTTAAAATGTAATTGTGTTTCATTTTATTTTTTCTCAATTTTCTCCATTCTAATTGGTCCAATTCATTCATTCATTCATTCATTCATTTTCTTTAAGGCTTAGTTTCTTTATTAATCTAGGGTCACCACCGTCAGAAAAATGAACCGCCAACTTATCCAACATATGTTTTACACAGCGGATGCCCTTCCAGCTGCAACCCATCTCCAGGAAACGTCCATACACACCAATACATGCTTACACACTCCAATTAGATATCAGATATTCCCTTTTTGTGTTTTATCCCCCTTTCGGCCTGGGCCTAGCTCCAGGCCGTTTTTACACCCCTATGTTAACTTTCAAGTTACTCCGGCCAGCCTCACACCTTCAGCAACCTGTTTAGAAAAGTCTGAAGTAAAGTTGTTAATTTGTCATATTCTAATCTCTACATAAGTAAGCTACTGCACGTCCAAGCTGCACCAGGTCCCCAAAACTGCAGTCCTGTAAACAATGCAAAAGTCATTAATTCCATTGTTTTGTTCCATAACAAAACTAAAACACCTCAACATGATTTTTATCCAATTCAGTTTGGTCTGTGCACAGAATTTTGCCAATTGTGTTTAAATTTGTATCAATTTTCTCTACCTTTCCCTATAATTATTAGTCTTACACCATCCCTAAATTCATGCTTCCGGCCCATTACTTGCTGCAATTTCAAATATTCATTATTTCAGTGTTTATCATTATCCAATCTAATTCTTACTCAACATCTATTTGTTTCTAAATCGTCTTTCATTAAACACTTCATTACTGTCTGACTGTCCTCTTTGCTTGCTGGCCACTCCTCTAGCCATTCACTATAGCTGTCAATCATGATTAGCAGATATATTTTTATTCACCTGTTCTCCCTTATCTAGAAAATCAATTATAACCTCACCCTAATTCTTCTCTTGCAGTTTCTGATATCTCTAAATATAATTAAAGTCTATAATTCATATTAGTCTTATTACCATGTGTTATACATTCACCAGTTTACAGTTATTTGAAATGGCTTATTTATTTAGTGATCTGACTTTTCCTAATATTGAGGCGTGTCATCTAATCACCTATAATTTTTACTTCCTTTAAATCTATTTCCATGGAAATGTCATAACACCTATTTCATTTTAATCAATTAGGTGTCTACTCTTTTTCTGCAAGTAAGATTTCATCAACATGCTTAATCAACACCACTCTCTCTGATAATTCAAAAATCAATCACTTTACATTTTGTATCAGTATGACCATATTTCTGCATACACTATTAACCTCAGCTTTAAAATCTATTCTCCTTAATTGCTTCTAAATCATAAATTAAACACAATCTACCTTTGTTTGTTGCTTTCTTGTAAAATTGTATTAAAATTAAATTAGTCACATCTATGTTTATAACTCAGATAAAATTTAGCTTAAATAAAATTTCTAAAACAGATTCCATATGACCTTGTCTAGGTGTTTCTATTAATTGCTCAACGACATACAACCTCTTCACTACGCTGGCTAATTTTACAATCCTCCATTTAAGTATTTCACTAATAATCAATCAGTTTTTGAATTTGACTCTACTTTTGATAATTCATTTTCTCAACTATTTACTTAGTTTGTTCTAATCATTTTTATGATTTTCTTTTGGCTACTAATTAGTTCTACGTCATTTCAGTTCAACTAGTTGCCCATACACTTTTTATATACTTTTATAAGCTAACTAAAAATCACTACATTTTCTTATTCGTTTCTTTCAGCTGTATTTTGACTTCATCATTAAACTTCTTCACATGGTTATATGTGAAAGAAAATCTGTTTTCTTAAACTCTCTTATTCTGTTTCAATTCTTTTATTAGATTAGAACTATTAATTTTTACCTGATGACGTGAGTTCAATTTTTCATGTTTCAATTTCTTCTTTACGCATAAATATTTTTTCTGTTACCAACCTTTTCTAGTTTTTAATATCCCATCTTAATTTAGATGATTCAACATAATATTTTGCTTTTAGTAAATCTTTACTTAAATAATCAATTCCATCAAAATTTATAATTCAAATGACTTCTTCAGTTACCAATAGTTGTTTCTTCTTCTTTAGTCACCACCAT